AACCAGCACTCTTCCAAAAGCTGGTCACCCAGCCAAAGTGAGCAATCGGGGGAGAAGAGCCATAGTAAGAGAGGTGACCAAGAACCCAATGGTCACTCTGACTGAGCTCCAGAGATCCTGTGTGGAGATGGGACAAAGTTCCAGAAGGACAACCATCACTGCAGCCCTCCACCAATCTGGGCTTTATGGCAGAGTGCCTAGACCGAAGTCTCTCCTCAGTGCAAAACACATGAAAGCCCGCTTGGAATTTGCAAAAAAGCACCTGAAGGACTCTCAGACTGTGAGGAACAAGATTCTCTGGTCTGATGAAACCAAGATTGAAACATGAAAGCCCGCTTGGAATTTGCAAAAAAGCACCTGAAGGACTCTCAGACTGTGAGGAACAAGATTCTCTGGTCTGATGAAACCAAGATTGAACTGTTTGGCCTCAATTCTAAACATTATGTCTGGAGGAAACCAGGCACTGCTCATCACCTGCCCAATACCATCCCAACAGTGAGCATGGTGGTGGCAGCATCATGCTGTGGGGGTGTTTTTCAGCAGCAGGAACTGGGAGACTGATCAGGGTTGAGGGAAAGCTGAATGGAGCAAAGGACAGAGATATCCTCAATGAAAACCTGTTCTACAGTGCTCAGGACCTCAGACTGGGCTGAAGGTTCACCTTCCAACATGACAACAATCCTAAGTACACAGCCAAGACAACACAGGAATGGCTTAGGAACAACTCTGTGAATGTCCTAGAGTGGCCCAGCCAGAGCCCTAACTTGAACCCTATTGAACATCTCTGGAGAGACCTGAAAATGGCTGCCCACCAATGGTCTCAATCCAACCTGATTGAGCTTGAGAGGATTTGCAAAGAAGAATAGCAGAAAATCCCCCAATCCAGGTGTGCAAAGTTTGTCGTGTCATACCGAAAAAGACTCGAGTCTGTAACTGCTGCCAAAGGTGCTTCAACAAAGTACTGAGTAAGGGTCTGAATACTTATGCCAATGTGATATTTGTTTTTTCTTTTTTAATAAATTTACAGACATTTCTAAAATTCTGTTTTCACGTTGTCATTATGGGGTACTGAGTGTAGATTAATGAGGAAAAAAAATGAATTTGAATGATTGTAATATCAGGCTGCAACATAACAAAATTGAAAAAAGTGAAGGGGGTCTGAATACTTTCCGAATGCATTGTATGTCTGTTTCTTTCACGGCCGGTGGGACAAGACAGAAAAAAACTTATTCAGTCATATTTGTACCATGGTTAGCTGCAAATGGGGAAAAACTAAGACATAAACTACTGGTTAGAAATAGCAATGACTTAGTTCATACAGTATACTGAGTTCATGCACTGCCAGAGCATGTTTGTACTATATATAGGTATAACTGGGGAAAGCTTCAGAATTATCTATTTTGCTAAGCTGTAATTGTTTAGTTTTGGCTTCACATGTTGATTGGCTGAACATGAAGTTTATCTTTTGTCTATCTTAATTCAAACTGCAAAGCTATCTTAACCTGGCTTTGTTCCCTTCATCAGGCTCTAAGAGTACTCATGTCAATATCATGGCATGCAAAAGATTGCTAATATCAAGATCTTTTACTTGAAACACCAGCAACTGGGGAGAGGGTGGGGGAAATGGTCCCTGTAGCAGCCTAATGTAGCCAAAAGAATGTGGGCAGATTCCAGGCTCTGATCATGTCATCATCTGCATCACTGACAAAGTGTCCTAGATTGTGTCCAGGACAAAAATTGTGTTGAGAGAAGAGGGAAAACAGCTTTAAAACTGGAACAGCTAAAGATGACTTCTTCACCTATGGGCTAGGGATGAGATGAAGCCAACATCATGAGGACATATCATATAAAATTGGCTTCTGGGACATATTTATGCTGTAGTTAAGGAGATGTCTATAAGCTTCCACAACCTCAAGGGGTTCTTAACTACAACTCCCATTAAGCAACTACAGTATACAGTATTACTGTCATAACAGCAGAGAGGCAGAAAGCTGGAAGAATTCACATATAGCTTTGCTTAACATGCTCTGGAGAATTGGAATGTGAACTCAGGTTGAATTATTTATGTAATCATGCCCCTACTTCTACAAACATAATATCTCATATGTCTTTTTGTATATCTCTCATTTAGCATCTGTAAGAATGGAATTTTCTTTACTGTGCCACATTGTGCCTCTTAATGTTTAATTGATTGAGAGAAGGCAGTAGATTCAAAGATGTATACTGCTACTTTCTACCTGCAGTAAAATATAGGGGCAGCTTATTAGAATAGCAGTTAGAGCCTTGGCAGAACTCGTATATTAAAACTAGTGTATTGCCTTTCAAGGAATATGTCTATAATGTTTCCATACCTTGAAGGATACCCCTCTCCCATTTAGAGTTATCTTGTGTCCTTACCAGTTATAAAGCAATTCTATTGGGATCTCCTATTAATGGACACACATGCTCAAACTGTCTTTGATCAACATTCTAAAGAGCCAGGATGGGGATGATGCATCCATCCTGGTGCTCCTTGATCTCTCAATGGCTTTCGATACTATTGACCCTGGAATCCTTCTGGACTGGCTGGGAGCGGGAGACACTATGTTGCAGTAGTTCACCCCCATCCTCAGCGTCCAGTTTCAATTGGTGACTGGCGGGGGGGGGGGAAGAGATTGCGTCTGCAGCCCCTCGTTTGTGTAGTGCCTCATGGCTTGACACACACTCTCTAGTTTAACATCTCTATGAAACTGATGGATGAGGTCATCCAACAGTTCGGGGTTCAGAATCAGTATGCTGATGATACCAAGCGTTATATCTCAACCCCAGGCTGCACAGGTGAAACTGTTGATGTACTAACCAGTGTCTGGAGGCTATTCAGGTCTGGAAGGGGCAGAGCACACTTCAGCTCAATCTTGCCAAGACTGAGTGGCTATGGCTGTTTGCCCCCCTCCCAGGACGTTTCCATTGTTAACTTGGATGGAGTAGCACTTCCCCATTCTAGACTGGTGTGCAACTTGGGGGTTCTTCTGGACTCACAGCTACTGTTCAAAGCAGGTGTCCACTGTGGCCAAGAGGGCCTTTGCATAGATTCATCCTGTTGTGCCCTTTCCTGGATCGGGAGGCCCTTCAGACTCATGCCCTGGTCATCTCACAATTGGATTACTGCAATGTGGTCTACATGGGTCTGCCCTTGATGACCATCCAGAAGTTGCAGTTGGTCCAAAATGCAGTGGCGCAAGCAGTAATGGGTGTCACAACTGCTACATGAGCTGTATTGGTTGCCAGCCAGCTTTCAGGTGCAATTTAAGGTGCTGGTCATTACCTATAAAGCCCTTAAAGCTGAGAGTCCACCTATCTCCAATTGTTTCTCTCTGCCCAATACATTCTAGCAGAGTGGGTACGCTCTAGGTCTCTTCTACTGAATGTTGTCGTCCTATGGGACTGAGGGAGCGTGTCTTTTCTGTTATGGCCCCTCTGGAACAGCATCCCCCCAGAGATATGGACAGTGCTCTCTCTCCTAGGATTCCAAAAAGCACTTAAGACCTGGCTTTGCTCTCAGGTCTGCAGTTGATGTGTTTGTGGGGCCTCTGGTTTGGTTTGGTTTGTTACTGTTTGATTGCTTTAATCCGGGCTGCTGTGGGCTTGTATGTTTTTAACTGTTTTTATTGCTTTGTATCTGTATTTGTAAGCTGTCCAGAGTCTGAGTGGGAAGCTATAATAAATCAATAATACTTGTGTAATTTTGTGTTCTTGCTCTTGACTTATTTGGATACAAGAGACCAGTTTGCTCTTGACTCATTTGGATACAATTGACCAGCTTTGGAAAATAAAATGATTGTTTGAATGCTCTCCATTTGTTGGTGTTTTGGAGGTAAGTTTTCTATCATACATGCCCTGCAAATGATACATTAGGGCACCACCATTTATCACAAGCCAAAATAAAGGCAGAATAGAGATCAGCACAAGGAACAGCCATAGGGAGCTACAGAGATTACCTTAGAGAATCTATTCAGAGATTCAATATATTCAAAAAATGTGTTGAGCCTGAGAAACAGGGAAAGAGTATTCCTTCCTGACTCCCAAGGGCAGTGATGGTGAACCTATGGCACACGTGTCAAAGATGACAAGACACACAAGACACACCAGCGTTCAACACCTAACAACTATTCTCCCTGTCTGAGTTACCAAAGAAACTGAATTTTTCTCATATTTCATTTTTGTAATTATTTGACATTTCTTTATATAATACATGGCACCACACATGATTGGACTGTACTTTTTTTTAATAAATGAATATGTAAAGAATTGTTTCTCTTTTGTGCGGGGGTGTGTGACATGCGAGCAGAGTCGAGTTAGGCATTTTCCAAATTTTTGACACACCGAGCCCAAAAGGTTCACCATCACTGCCCTAGGGTATAAGAGGAGAAAAGGAAAAATGCAGTTAGGCTTGCAAGATTCTGCTACAATAACCTATCTCAGTAAAGTATAGTTCTAGTCATCTTATGAGACTCCATAAGATGTTTCCTGATCTGGTCAACCTTGAAGTGCTAACAGCAGCACATTTTATGCTAGTATAGTTTTCTGATCAGGATGGGTGGAGAGCTCTAGAAAGGCCTTAAAGGTTTCTAGCATAGTGTGTTGAGCAACCACAGCAGGGCATTCTCTTACTACTGTTTTAACAAATATTTAGAAAATGAGAGTTGAGACATCCAGCCTTCCACCCTAGTGTCTCATCCCACTACAATGCAACACTTTTTTTCTAAATACTTTAACATAATTACATATCAGTGATGTGCAGTTTTTCTGGGTTCAAGTTAGAAGCATATGTCCCTAAAACATAATTGTCAATAGATGGCGTACCAGCACAAAGCATATGAATTTTTTTTTTCCTCCGGTTCACTTCGCCAAGGACAAATTCTGACAGGTGGTTTTACCGTTACGCATGCGCATGCCAGCCTCTTCCCCCCCTCCCGTTGGCTCAACGCCCAAACATCCGAAAGTCGAGTTGGCGCATCACGTTTCACATTTCTTTTCATCCTGATGTTCTGTAAGCAGGTGGGAGTAAATCTACCTACTTCCGGAAATAATCCCTCCCTCCCGTCAACAAGTCCTCGCCACGCATGCGTGTTCCTCGCTGCCGAAGAAGCTGTTTTTTTTCCATTCGCTATTTCAACTGACGGGATGTAGTTCCTTCCTTCCTTCCACCTCCCCCCCCCGGCGATGTGGGTGCGCTTGGAGGAGGCGGCAGCAGCAGCAGCAGCACAAGTAGTCATCGCAGCAGTCCTGGCACCAGCTCTTGCGAGGGGTTGAACGGCTGGTGCCATTGGCGTGCGTCAAGATGGCGTGTGTGCTGGAGACACCACTCCGCATGAGTATCCTGTCGGTAAGTGCAGGCCCGGCGCAGCAACGGCGAGACTAGTACTTCTGGTTCCTGGTGAAGGAAGTCAGCCGCGTTGGGGCTTCCGTTTGGCGGCCTTTTTCCTCTCTTACCTTGGCTGGAGGAAGCGGGTTTGGTCCTCTGTGTCCGGCCGGGCGAGGGAAGGACTACCTTCTTAGATTGTTCCTAGCGGGTCCCGCCCTCCTTGCAGCTTGTCCTATTTTTCTCTTGCAGCTACGATAGGAGTAGGACAGCCTTGGCTGCTTTTCGCTTCGAGGTGGGCTGGGGAGATTTGGGGATGTCCGAGTGCTGGACTTTTTCTCTGAAGGAAATAAAATTGCCAGCCCCTGATGCATTATTTTCTGCATAAAGATGTTATGGGGAAAATCTTGTATCCATAGATTTTGAGGGAAGTGAATGGTTTTTCTAATGCATTTTCCCCCTTTCTCTTTCTTGGTTTTAGGAACGTTTACAGCCACAGTTTCCCCCCCCTATATAGAAGTTCTGACTTGTTTTTTTTTAATTAGAGTGGGGAAAATGTGTATAAGTAATTGACTTGCTAGCCAGCATAACTTTTAAAATGCTTGGTTTGTTTCCTAATAATGTTGAATCTGAACACAATTAGAGTGGCATTGTGCAAAACAAATTCCTATTCCATTAATAGAAGTCTAGAAAAAGAAGTTATAGCAGTTGCAAGTCCCATTTTAGATAGCTGTTAATTGTACAGTATAGGAGTTCTTTTTTTGTAGCAGGTTACAATGGAGTCACATTTGGGTAAGTTTTAGTATGGATGTATGTATACTAATATATATGCACTAAAAAGTATATTTATTTAAGTTCAGATATAAGTACTCACATAAGTCTTGGCTAACCAGTCCATACTTGCATGTGTTAACATTGGATCCAATACTTTCTGTATTGCTGCCAAGTTCATAAAAATGCTGCAGCTTTAGGAAGGGAAGGTGATTATGCTGTTATCACTACTTCAGCATCACTTATATGGCTGTATCTGTGGCAAGAACATTTAAGGAATGTGCTGTTTTCAATGTGATTTTGTTGGGATTCTGTCTCATTGTATCGCAAAATCTATTACCTTATAGGTTTGGGTATGTTCCAAGGGTCTGAAAGAGCTACAACAAGTATGGAATTCTTGTGTTTGTACACTGTTCTTACACTTAACATCCATTGAAGAAAGGGGAAAAAATGTTTGCACTATGGACAATACTATTTTTGCATGAAACCATATTGTTTTTTTTGAATATGTGTGTATGTGTTTAAATTTAGAATATTTTTTTTGATTAAAGATTTGTGGACAAGTTTCTAACTATGGAACTACAAGGAAAATTTGATTTAATGAACCAATTTGGGGAAAGGGGTATGTTATTCTTGATTGTCCATTAAATCAGAGTATATCATCCATGCCAATGTCATGACATAAAGCATATGATTTGTATCATTTTATGTTTCTGTCTAGCTGTAGAAACAGAATGGTATTATTTTTTAAATTTGATTATCTCATAGGATATGAATTAGGCAACATCCCTACAGGAAGCTGTCTTAGATACCTAAGCAATAGCATTAAATGCCAAAATACTAGCTTTATTGATGACTGAAAAATATTTCAAATCTGTAATGTCAGCAGTTAAAGAATGTTGTAATGTAGTGGATTATACACTTGATTGATAATAGCATATTTTCAACAGCCCCCCATCATCACTTTTGGTTTTGAGAGTAGGTGTGCTATATTTAAAATATGTACAATGCATTTTTATTTATAGCGCAAAGGGGAAAATTGGCAAAAGGATATGGTCTTGTGTTGGAGAAATAATAGGATTAAGTTCTACTGATTGGAAAATTATAAATTAGCAGACTGAATTCTACCAAGACAGAGTGGCTATGGATTCAGAAACTGATTGAGTCCAGAGATAGTCTATTTTGTACTCTGGATGAGGTAACATTTCACCAGATGAAGCTGACCCACAATTTGGAGGTCCTCCTGAACTCAGGGCTCCTGGTTGAACAGCAGGTAGAGGCTGCAGCCATGAGGGCCTTTGCACAATTATATCTTGTATGGCATCTTTGTCCTTTCTGGATCAGGAAGCTTTTCTTTCAGTCACTCATGCCCTTGTCACCTTGGAGCTAGATCACGTAATGCATTCTGCATGGGGCTATCCTTGATGACCTTCTGAAATCTTAAGCTGATGCAACATGCAGTAGCCTGGGTAATTATAGGTACATCAGCATTTGTCTCTGTAACATCACTATTATGGGAACTGCACCAGCTGCTATGTAGCTTCCAGGTACAATTCAAGATGCTGGTTGTCATCTTTAAAGCCCTTTGTGGATGCCTCTGTGATGGCTTTTCCAAACTGAATCTGCCCATCCAATTTGCCAAAGGTCCCACCACTGATGGAATACAATTTTCAGGGACCCTGAGCTTCACTTCTCTCCTTTGCAACAGGACCAACTTACTACATTTTTCAAGAGCTGTAAAAACATGGATCACCAGAAAGGCATCTGGGGACAAGTAAAATAATGCATTGGATGATCAGTTACAACTGTATTAATTTGTATTTTTAATCTTCTAAGTGTAATATTGTAAGCCTCTTGGAGTCTCTGGAAATGAAGTGGCATGTGAGTTGCACTAAATAAAATAAAGGTCACATTTCCTTGAAAGCAAGTATTGATTCTCCTATAATATGCAATTCTAAGAAAAATGTTGATCAAGAAAATTAATGTCTTTGTTCAGGTGGACCAACAGCAAGGCTAGGCATGTTTGGCTAATGTCACATGTGAATGGAATATGCACTGTAGAATATTGCCTAGAATTCTGGGCAATTCACTCCTGCTACTACTCATAAAAATTAGTGTGGATAGGACTCCTTGAAAGCACATCATTTGGAAACACTATTGTTTATTTGCCTTACATAACAATTCTGTGCATATTTACTGTGCATATTAACTTCCATTTAACATAAAACTTCCTTTGTGTTAAATGGAAGTTACTTTTGTCTGTATGTACAGCAAGCATCCTGAGTAAATTAAGGTTTTGCTGCATCTCTAAGGATGCTAATCTATGTTTTGGATCTAGATTTAGAGACATGCAACAGTGCTTGTAAAAATAGACTTTTCCTTGCCTATGTTGCTTTTGTCAGCCCTTCCAGTTGGCATTATTGAGTAGTGTATAGTGTGGTACAGAAGCATTATGATTTTTCCCAAAATGATCAATCCCGTTTCTTATGACTGTTTACAGAAAATGCTTTCTGTGATGAATATTGAAGACAAACTGTGTTCTAGTACTTGTGTGGAAAGGCTTGCTTGTTGAGGATTCAAAAATGATGCTGATACATTTCTGTTTCATGAAAAAGACACAAACTGCTGGGCTTGTTTCTGAATAAGCATAAATAGCTTCCTAGATGCCTAGGAGCAGCCACAATAGTGTAATGTAAATTATGACATTATACAAATTATACACATTGTGTAACTTGTGTCAGTTGCATCATGATGTGAATGGCACCTGGTACATAATTTGCACAGTGGCCTTGGGATGTGAATGATGTCACTTGCACCTCCCCTTGCATATGGATGCCTGTGACAATTTGCTTAAAAGATAATCAAGAGAGAGGCAAAGAAGAAAAAAACTGCCTGTTCAATCTGTGCCAAACATGATTTTGTATAATTTGATCATGTACTCCTCAGTTGCATTTTTTTCAAGACTTGTATGCAAGATGTTCTTAGCTAAACCATTTTGGTTGCCTTCCTCTACACCTTTTCCAGCCCTATTATATCCTTGTTATAATGCATAAACCAGAACTATATGCAGTACTCCAGATGCAGACATATGGATTTGTGTAAAGGCATTACGGTGTTGGCTTTTTTATTTTGAATTATTTTCTTGATCATCCCTAGTATGCAATTTCCTTTTTCTCAGCTGCTGCATGCAGAGTTACTGTCATCATTGAGGTGTCCACTAATGATCCCAAGATCATAAGTGTGGTTGAGAATCAGGCAGCATACAAGTTTAAATAATAATAATTAATAAATAATATTAATAAATAATATCTTTTTTCTTGTTAGTTATAGACAATATTGTTTTCTTGGAAACAGTGTGGGTTGCCATTGCTGCCTTCAAAAAAGTTTGTTTTTTTTAAAATTCCCATTCTAGTATTCTGTGTAGATCTCTCATTTAAATACTTTACTAACCAAGGAAACTCTGCTTAGCTGCCCAGCCTACCCAAGCAAATGCTACTACCTGATGCAATGGAAATCAATACAAAATTATTATTATTATTTTTGCTATTGATAGTGCTTTGGTATTGTGCCTGATAACTATATAATTCTTCCTATATTTTGAACAAGTAAAGGTTTATTTCTTACAGTCTTTTTAAGAATATAGTGGCACTATGATACTTTTTCCATGCATAGCTAAAATAATTTTGATATTGCTTTGTCTAGAAATAATTGTTAGGACCAGTTCCTGAAAAATGTAGTTTGTTCTCCCAAAGCAAACTTTTGATTTTACTGTCAAATTTGTCTCAGTATTATAAAGCCCATATTTTGCTGATGAAGACTTTTACTGTTGGAATATCAAAGCATTACTTTCTCTCCCTCCATGCCCCTCCCACTTTTAAGCTTGAGAAATTTGGATGAGTGCAAGAGAGAGCAGAGGAAAGGAATACTTAATTGCCAATGGAATTATGTTTGCGTAGCATAGAATCTAATCCATATACTTGAGATTATGTACATTTTGAATTGAATCATAACTGAATGGAACCTTCAGTTCTTCCATTCAAGAATCTATTAGCCTTTGCTCCCAAAATTCATCTTTTTGATAGTACTGTGTAATTTAGGACGGGTAGATGAAAATTTTACAACTGCAATTGTTCAACTATTGGAGGTTGGAAATTATTATTAATTATGTAGAAATCATATTCTGTCCATCCCTTATTTTTTTCTTATATATTTTGTTATTGCTGATAACCATTCAATTAGAAATTCCTATGTTTATTTTTTAATAGAAATGCTTATTTTTGCATTACTGTTACATTGTATTTTGATATTTCTTTGTTGGAAAAGTGACAAATATTTTTTATCAATCTGAGTTTAGAATAGCTCCTGGCAATACAGAGAGAGCAGCATGCTTAACTATTCTTCCTGGCCCTTCCACTCAAAGTCTTTCCATATTATTGGGGGATTTTGTTATACCTGGCTAAATAAGGGAAGGCAGATTCATCTTAAATTAAATATAGTATTTTGAATAAATGAAATCCCATTTTTACTGAATAACATATTCTAAAAATATTTATATGCTTAGGGCTCAAATTTGTTAGTAAATAAATATTACTGCTTCATAATTTTTTGTGTTCTTGTATTTTTAAAAATGTACATCACTGACAGACTACAAATATCTTTGCTTACAGGAAGTTACAGCAAGTAGTCGCCATTATGTTGACAGATTATTTGATCCTGATCCTCAAAAAGTTCTTCAGGGTGTCATGTAAGTGATATAGACTTTTTTGCTATTGTGCCTTTAATTTTCAAATAATTCAAAATGTGCTTTGAATCATTTTCATTACTTGCTTTTTATACTTCACATGGGTAACTACATATTTGAGGCATTACTAATGAAATACACTCAGTTACTATTTTCAGCTGATATATAATATAGTATAAGGCTTTCCTTATTTAACTTTCCACATGTGGCAGTTTGAATATCTCTTGATTTCTAAATCATGCTTAAATCATGCCTACCATTTTATACATCTGATAGTAATATATTCTTCCTGCCTGTACAGTATTCACCTTCACATCTGATGAGAATTCCCCAGTGTTTTAAAAGATACTGTACATATTAAGATACTTTTAATAGACATTAAAAATTTAAAGTATAAGTAGCATGTATCTTAAATTTAGTTAAAGTGAATCATGAATTTAAATTTAGGCATAAATTTTCTTACATCTGAAATATAAGCATCTGATAGACAAATTATTTGAATTCAGATGTTGTATTAAAACCATAATTTAACATGATTAGAATAAGATTCATTTTTTTATCTGTAGTTATAAGAATGTTATTGGAAACTTCTATTTAACCATAGTACATCATGTGTACATTCTAATATCATGGTAATCGTAACAGCGGTTACATAAAGCAAATCAACTTCAAAAAGTATGTCTTGATTGTGGTTTAAGCAGCTCCAGTATGCCATACCATCTGACCCCAAACAAATTCATTTAATCTAAAATTAAACAAAAGTTTCTGAATATGTCTGTGTCACTGTGTCGGAGGGGCAAACAGGCATTACTTCTGAATAGGGCAAATAAATTAAAGACAGCTAAGATGGAAAATGTGTTTCTGTGTGCTTTTGTATTTTTGTGCCTGAAAAAGAAAATGATTGGTATACGCAGATAGGGATCAATTAACTTGGTTAAGCAGTAATTAAAAACATAATTAAAAGAAGATTTTTGTTTCTGTTTTGCTTTGGCCCTGTCTTGTGGCTCCCGTTAGATTAATCTAGACAGGTACATAGATTTCTACATAGATATAAAGTGTGCCACGTACAAACATTTATTGGCAGTAGAAGAATCTCCAGGATTGGTTTCTGCTGCAGTTGGCCACTTTAGGTTGACATGGTGAGAAAGCTGGGCAATGTATAGGGTTTTTGCTTGTGTTTAACATATTTTCTATCTAGTTTTCCTTTTCAGAGGAAAATATGCTTGGTTCTCTTTTTGAGTAAATATGGTACTATTTCCTTGTCCTGGAAACCAGATATTGAATTGGCATTCCAATGTTGTATAATAATTCCCTTGGTTACCCCCCAAAAATGATTGGCTTCTTGTATGTGGCTGTAAGAAATGCCTTAGTATACCAATAAATTCCATATAATTTGACAGTAATTGCCTGCTACAAAATCATGTTGAAAACCCTATGAATTTCTGACCAAACCATATGATTTATGTTCCAACTCCTAAATTGCATTTCCAAGAATAAGGAGATTGTAACCCACCCTTATTTAAGCAGTTTTAAAGGTGTCCAATAAATCTGAAATGATTATTCTGGTTTAACTACAAAAGAAAATTGTTTTACGTGTCTGATTGAAAAGGTGAATTCAAGCTCATTATTCCAAAGTACAGACAAAAGATTTAATATCATTTAAAATATACTTCATCACCGGATAAAGATAACATTCAGTGAAAGTTGTTTAACAAAATACATAATAAACATGGGCATTTAGAAGATGGACTAAAAAGTTTACATCACAAATAGCAGGCATATATAAAAAAGGGATGTTGTGTCTGTCAACTGGTGTGGTACATAATTATTAAATAAGCATAGTAAATTCAGTAAAACTGAATTATCTGCTTTAGAAAACACTCATTTTCTTATGAGTCAATGCTTACAAGTACATAGGACTAATTAGATCCCAGAATTGGAAAGATTTATTTATATGTATATTTATTTTCTGAGAGGGAACACTAGATATCTTATTTTGTAAACAAGAAAGCTACTGTATCAAGATTTAGCTTTTCTTGACTACAATGAATTCAGCATTAGTTAACAACTTTTAAGACTATATCCACACACAGTTCAAGGATAGCTGAATTTCCTTTTCTAATTTTGTGTTTTGCAGTCTGTGTGAATGAACATGGATATATATTGTAGTGACTTAAAATGCTATTAGAATTTCTCATGAGGATATTACTTTGGAATTTTTATTTAGTGAGAAAAAAAATCTCAGTAATACAAGAATAGAGGAAGTTAATAATTTTAGCTCTGAGCAAATAGTTACTTCAAAGGAGTTACCTGTAAGCTTCATTTCATAATGTTTATTGCATAGTTGAATGGCAAAAGAACCAATTATTTAATTTATACTGTTACTGTGTCCAGTATTTTTTATGGTACAAAAAAATGAGGCCATTCTTCTGAGCTGAAGGGAATCATTTTTTAAAAATTCTTTCCCTTAGAAACTTTTGGAATTAGCATTGTACAAGCTGCAGTCACATTTAGGATTACTTTCAACTTTGATAATTTTCACTGACATAGTTGTAATAGATTTCTAATGTTCTAGAGTTTATCAGTACCCAAATTCAGTTCACAAACTGAATGTACACACATGTGTACAGTTGGCAACTGGCACTATATTTTCTAATCTAGAAAATGTTTTGCTTGAGAGTATGACTATGCTTGATTTCTTTCAGAAAAATAATCAAACTAATTTATACATACATAGGGAGAACTAAGATGAGAAAGAGCTAAAGATGGAATTATATTGGGAATGATACTTCAGCTTTTCCCCAACATTCTTCCAATAAGTTCAAAGCAGTATATGTGGCAAAACAAAAACTATTAAGGTTATATTTATTAACCCAAGGTCACCCATGAGTTTTGTAGCTATATGGGGATTTGAACTGTGAATCCCAGAACCTAGTCCAACACTTGATCTATTTCCCATCATTTTTTGTAATTAGACATACTGCAGTATAATTACAAGATGAGATAATTTCTATTGCTAAATATTACTTAGCAGTACCTACTCTTTATTGTACATTATTTTTATAACATCTGTCTTCATTTCCCAACATGGTAGAACTTGCTTATATGCAGTTGCTGTTGATTCCTCTGAGTCTTTTGGCACATTGATAATATTTCAAGTGCTGTTTTTTAACCTAAGCTGAGATTCTGGAGACATTCAGAAATAGTGAGAGAAATTTTTGGTGCAGCCAGGTATATCTACATTTTAGTGTTTAGTGAGACACATCCATGTGAATTAGAACTTCAGGAAGAAAGATTGTGTCTGTTCTGGAGAGAAAATTATCTTACTTTGCTCTGGGTGTTTGTAGTCAGAGAATGGTCAGAAAGGGCTTTATAATAGCTTTTAGCAGCTGCATTTGTCAGCCCTTTGCCCTATAGATGCTATTTACTTTATATAGTTACTCCATACAGTATTGCTAAACACATTCTTTATATTTATGATAATTTTAAATACAAAATATTTGCATTCTTTAGTTTTGGAATATCTTTCTGAATATAAATTCTGTTTTTGAGACATTTATTTTGATAGGACTATTAATAACAATGAAATAATTATTGTATTCTTGTGTAATGTTTTAAAGATGAAACCTATATGTTTCATTTAAAGAGGATTTCATTTAAAGATGCCCAAAACATCGTCTGACTTAGAAAGCTATACTCTAGTACTAGGAACCCACAGTTAGGTTTTATGGAATCCTTTTCTTTTTTGGTATATGTAATACAAATAGATAATGTTATATGAAAGTGTGATAGTATAATGTTTATACTATCACACTTTCATGTTAATAAATATGTCCCCTCATTTAATATTTCCAGTGTATGAAAAATTCATTCTATAACTTTTGTTTTTGATTAAGGTTTTTCTGGAATTACTTCTTTTCTTAACCATCATATACTTATGCACTGATCATTTTGGCTTCTATCAGTATCTAGTATTGTGAGACTTTTTCATATTTAATATTTGATAGAGATTAAATATTGGACAATAATATAACATCAGAAAACATAAATTCTAATTATATTTTATTCCTTTATGGTCATGAAACGACATATATGTAACAGGATAGGAAACAGGACATATATTTTGAAATTACCCGATAATAATGAAGTAAACTCCAGAATTCAAAACTTAATTCAGTATTAACTTTTAAAATAATAATTCTATATTCAGTAATGTGAAATTTCATAATTCCCAAATGAAAATAGTAGTTCTGTGTTTTTATGTTTTTATTATGTTTTTATGTTTTGTGGTGTGAACTACTGGGGCTCTTCTTTGGCGTCTATTGGTATATAAATACAAATAAAATAAATAAAAGAACCAAAAATGATGGTTCTTTTATTTAAAATGATGATTGTACAACAAATTAATTTTATAATTTTCTAGTGCCATTAAACTTCTGCAACTTGTCATTCTCAACATAAAAACTGATCACTTTTCAATATATTTATTACATAGTTGCGTCTCTAATTAAGCCTTGATTATTTTTGTTTAATTGATTATGTAAGTAATGTGTGAGCCACTCTGCATTCAGCCCAAGGGTGCATCTCAATATGTGACTTTTATGCTAGTCACTTCTGTATTGATATGAATGATAGCTACTGATTTTAATTGTGCTTTCCTTAACTTTGTAATGTAGTATTTAAAAAGTTGGATTTGGGACCAAAGAAATTCAGTTTCCTTGAACTCACTGGGTCAATTGGATACTTTGAGCCAATCATTGAATAACTTGGGCCAATCACTGTCTCTCAGCCTAACCTACTGTAAAGATGGTTGTGAGAATAGAGGAAAACCAATGTATGGTTTCAAGAGGAAAACCAAGGTGTAATATTTAAAAAAAGAAAATAGTAAACCAAAGACAATCAGTACATTGGATATACGTAACTATATAGAATAGGATTGTAGTGGATTCTGTTACTCTGTGCTTTTTAAATGCATGTAGTACAGTAGTGAAACTCCCATGACT